GGGTATTTCTGTCACACAAAACACACTCAGAGCAGCAAGAACCTACCAAACCCAGCACCTAGTAGGTGCCTAACACTATGGACAAAAACAAATGACCTCTTAGCATCTCAATGCCTCATCTGTAAACTGAGGATAGTACATATTCCACATGGGCTCCACTGACTGGCGTTAGTCAATAAGAATGCATAGGAAAGAGCATTCTAAAGAAGGCTATACAAGTGAAGGTGGTGGGATCATCAGTCTTATTATTCCTAGTATAGAACTTACAACATTGTAAAGACTAAATTTACAAAAGCCATTATTAGCATATATGAAAAAAAAAAAGGCTTGAATTCTCTTGCTCAGAAGAGATACTCCATTCAAGAATCCTCTAGGAAGGGATCCCTGGGTGGCTCAGCGGTTTGGCGCCTGCCTTTGGCCCAGGGCGCGATCCTGGAGTCCCGGGATCGAGTCCCGTGTCGGGCTCCTGGCATGGAGCCTGCTTCTCCCTCTGCCTGTGTCTCTGCCTCTCATTCTCTCTCTGTGTGTGTCTATCATAAATAAATAAATCTTTAAAAAAAAAAAAAAAAAAAAAAAAGAATCCTCTAGGAATTCTGGCAGAACACGACAGCTTCTCATGGGATCCCCAAATCCAAAGCTCTGAAACTTTAGAAATGTCATTTGATGGCTAAGGAAAGAACCACTTTGGCAGGGAAACTGGCCATGTGAGGCACTGACAGTGAGCTTCACCAGTGATTCCATTCTCTCTCTCAGAGCCGGCCAGCCTGCTTCCAGTCTTCATCAGCCAAGATCTCCAGTCAGGACAGCAACGCCAACAGCATGAGAAAGATGGACACTGCCCTGGCAAAGCCCATGCCTGCCACTCCACAAACTGGCAAAGAGCCAGAGTGCAAGGAAAGCAGGGATTGCGGATGTCCAAGGTGGGGGCTTCAATGAGATGCATCTGGCTGTCTTCCTGCAGCATAAGCTGGGATCTCTTCCCCAAGGACTATAAGGTGTGATGTTTATACCTTCTGCCCCTCCAACAAGTTCAGAGTGAGCCACTGCTAATTCTTCCTCACTGGGGGATCCCTGGGTGGCGCAGCGGTTTAGCGCCTGCCTTTGGCCCAGGGCACGATCCTGGAGACCCGGGATCGAATCCCACATCGGGCTCCCGGTGCATGGAGCCTGCTTCTCCCTCTGCCTATGTCTCTGCCTCTCTCTCTCTCTCTGTGTGTGACTATCATAAATAAATTTTTAAAAAATTTTTAAAAAAAAATTCTTCCTCACTGGGCACCTTATCTAAAAATTGTTTCATCATTTAGGGGCAGATGGCACCACCAACATCTACCTAACTGCTCAGGCCAAAAACCATGGAGTCATCCTTAATTCCTTCGGCTCTTTTCCCAACCACCATCCTGCTGGTTCTGACTCCAAAACACATCCTCAATCCACCCTCTGCTAGCCATCTCCACTGCTACCTCTCCAGCAGGGTACCATCACCTCTCTACTAGCCTCCTAACCTCCCTTCCAGCTGCCATGCTTATCCACCTTAAAATTCATTGGCCACACAGAGACCAAAGTGATTTAAAAAAAAAATATATATATATATATAGACTATTGTCACTCTCCTTCTTAAAGCCTTTAGTGGCTTCCCACACTTTTAGAATCAAATCACAATCCCTTATTCTAGCCTACAAGCCCCCACCCCTCCCCATTGGCCCACCTCTCCATTCTCCCTCTCCTTTCACCTCCAACTCATCTGCTCCAGTCACTCTGAGCCTTCTTTCAGTTCCCAGAACTTACCAAGCTTGTTCCCTTGGACCCTTTACCCTAGCTGTTCCTTCTGCCACATTTCCAAATGGTTGGCCCCTTTCTGGCAACAAATCTCAGCAAAACTGTCACCACCTTAGTGGCGCCAGTGTGGTTCAGTCAGTTAAGCGTCCAACTCTTGATTTTGGCTCAGGTCATGATCTCAGAATCCTGGGATCAAGCCCCACATCAGGTTCAGTGCTCAGTGGAGAGTCTGCTTGGGATTCTTTCTCTCCTTCTCCTTCTGCCCCTCCCCCCTCATGCTCTCTTTCAAATAAATAAATTAATTAATTGATTAAATATATTTTTTTAAAAATCACCACCTTAGAGAGAGGCCTTCCCTGACCATCCGATTAAAGTAGCAGCACCTTAATCTCCATAAGAAGTTACTCTTTCTGACATCACAGTCCTTATTTCTGTCCAAATTACCTTGTTCATTTATGGATTTATATTTCTGTTGCTGCCATTGGAATGTAAACTGCATGAAAGCAAGGACCTCATCTAACCATCCTGTCTCCAGGCTAGAACAGGGCCTGACACATACCAGGCGCTCAGCAAATATGGAATGAATAAAACTGAACCCAGAGCCAAAAGACCTAATTCCCAGGTGAAATGGGCCATTTACTAGCAGCATGGCTTCTCTTACCTCAGGTCCCTTGCCTGCAAAATGAGGATCTTAAATCTGCACCTTATCTTCCTTGTAGGGCTACTAATAACACCAAATGAGTGAAGGCACACTTAAACACTTTTGTAAACCACTAGGTACCATGCAGACAGTACTGTATTATTACCAGCAGAAGAGAAGACTCTCAGGGACCCATACATCAGTTGTCAAAATGAAGTGTCTAACCCAGGAACCCAACAGCAGCCTAGGACACAAAAAAGATTTGAACCAGCAGTTCTACTCTGCAGTAGGGGCAAACACAAGTTGTGAATTCATTTAAAGAAGTCACATCATTTGCAAAGCTAGTAATATGCAAACTAAGCTTGGAGGTCCTTGAAGTATATGGCATGGGGACTGATTTCCACACCTTCTGTTGCAGTTGGCAACAGAGGGACTTAGTACATGTTTATTCAGTTGAGAGTTGGGCTACCACACCTAACATCCTACCATGAGCTTTCATCTTTCTTTGCAACCCATTCTAGCATGGAGTTATAGGTTCCTGGAGCCACCCTGTAATAATACTAACGTTTATGTTATACTGTGACAGCTACTGCTTCAAGCTTGCAGTGACCTTCTGAGGTTGACAAACCTGCTGTTAGGAGCACATACTTTAATTTTTAATTTATTCACTCACCAACCATAAATAGAATATAAAGTATTGTATGGGTGCTATGTTTAAGCCCAAATAATAATGGCTAACATTTATCAAAAATGCGAGGCACTTTACATATATTAGACTCAAATGAATCCTCACAACAGCCATACATACATGGTAGATTCTATTATTATCCTCATTTTACAGATGAGGAAGCCAGCACGGAGATGAAGTCAACTGCTCAGTGGCACACAGCTTGAAGGTGGCAGAGCCAAGCCTTGAACCCAGACAGCCGGACTCCACACTATTAAAACGCTAGCTTGCAATCGGAATTGCACAACAGCACTGAAAGGGCCTTCAGATGTCATCTAGTCCTCTTCTTCCATTTTAAAGAGGAGGGGACTGAGCGACAGAGAAATCCTCTTTTGAACATGCCAGCTCTTTTGTGAGGTCCGCATTTTGAATGATATATATTTAAATGAAGCTTTATATAAGATCTTACTTCCTGGGACACCTGGGCAGCTTAGTGGTTCTGGGCAGCTTAGTGGTTGAGCATCTACCTTCAGTTCAGGTCGTGATCCCTCCGTCCTGGGATGGAGCCCCACACTGGGCTCCCTGCATGGAGCCTGCTTCTCCATCCGCCTATGTCTCCGCCTCTTTCTCTGTGTCTCTCATGAATAAACAAATAAAATCTTAAAAAAAGAAAATTAAAAGATCTTACTTCCTTGCCACTGGAAAAAAAGGCTCTAGCCATAGCGGTTAGAAAAAATGAAAGAATACACAGCGGCTTTGTAACACCTACTGTTGAGACAGCGGGGTAGAGGGGGAAATATAGGATTTACCTGTGAAATGCAGACACCACCACCACCTACCTGGCAAAGTCTAGGTGAAGATTAAGTGAGATAATGTACCCAAAAAGTGCTTCTTAATCATATACTTTCAAATAGTGATTAAGCTTTAAGCACTTTCCAAAAGACACAGGAAAGGACTCTTTTGCTCTCTGAAAGAGTCAACAAAGCCCAAGTATGTGAAAATAAGACCATAACCCCAATCATCTACAACTTGCTCTCAGGGGTTTCCACCACCAGGGCCACTTGTGCAGGTCCATATCACCTCCCTGTGTCTGAGCAGCATGGAAAAGTGAAACTGGGGGCAAGAGGATGTCAACAGCAAAGGAAGACACATAGGAGCTCGTACTCTACACACCTAAATCCTACGAGTCCCAAAGTCATCTCCTGGAAGCCTCGCCCAAACCACCTCACACCTCCTGATAGCTTGTCGGGCACTTGCTTTGTGCCAAGCTACTTGACATGCCCTGTTTCACTGGCTATCTGCATCGGTCCATCAACTCGTTTTACAGATAAAGAAAAGGTGGCTCAGAGATTAACTTGCCCAAGACAAGGCCACACAATTACTAACTGTAGATGCAGAGTCTCCAACTCAGACACTGTCGGCTGGAAACTGGAGCCTTGGTCCCCATCCCAGTGTGCCCTAAGAATTCCCCCTCTCCCCATTCAGGGCACTTTCAACGTGCATAACTCATTATCTTAGCCGCTCTGAGCATCAAGTGTTAGGAGATCCCTGGATAAACAGTCAACTGACGCCCGACCGGGGAAGGGACCTGCCCAAGGTCACACAGCGCGCCAGGGGCAGCGGCGAGGTTCGGACCCCGGGCTCTCGCTGCCCTGCCTCTCTCCGGAGCTGGGTCTCTGACCGCGGCCCCAGAGCCCTCCGGACGGAGCCCGACGCCTCGAGGCCGGGTCGAAGGGTCGGGCCGCACCTCCGCCCGAAGGAGGACCTCGGAGGATGCCCGGGAGGCTGGGCAGAGGATGCTCCGGCTCGAGGAGCAGCAGAGCCAGGCGGCGGCGCCGGGGCGGGCCTCCGGGCGGATCGCTAGCGGCGGGCGCGACCGGCCTGCCCCGAGGGAGCTCGGGCCCCTCCCCGACTCACCTGCGGCGCGAGCCGACAGCGGGCGGCGGCGGCGGCGGCGGCGGCGGCGGCGGGGGCGGCGGCAAGCCCCGGGCTCAGCCATTCCCCGCTGCCCCGGATGGGGAGAGACGGCGGCGGCTCACTTCCTTAGCAACCCGGCTCAGCGACCCACTTCCTTAGCAACCGATGTCAATTTCAATAACTTTATTGGAGCCGGAGCGGCGAACAGGGAAGCCGGCGCAGGGAGCCGGGCCGGGAACCGCACTGGCGCTTAGTAGGCGCCCAGCGCGCCTCGGTCCTTTCACCCCGCCCCCCCCCAGGAGTGTGAGGCGAGCGCGCTGCGCCCTGCCTCCACCTGCCAGGCTCTCGTGCCTCAATTTCCCCATCTGTAAAATGGGACTCAGCGCCTTGGTCGAGCCACGCGAGGTCACGCGTTTTCAGCTGCCAGTTGACCTTTCCCAAAGCGCTTTCAAACCCATTATCTGACTTAAGTCCCCGAACTGCTACTAAGACTTGTAGGGTCACTCAGTCACTCAAGCCATAAAAGTTTAGGAATTACCCCTCTTTCTTCCCTCTCCTTCACTCCCTCATCCACTCACGCACCATCTCTCTCGATCTGCCTGCCTCGCAAATATTTCTCCCATCTCTCCACCTTTCTCCATCTCCAGTGCCACCCTGATACCTGCTTCCACCCATGTCCAGCCCTGCCCTGCCAAGCCGTTTTCCCCTAAGGAGCCAGGCTGATCACTTCAAAAGGTAAAATAAATCATGTCGTATTGCTGGCTTAACATCCTTTGATGGAATCTCACTGCTCTTAGAATCAAATCTAAAGCCATTATGACTTCCTACAAGATTGAGACAAGTCTGTTGCAGCCACAATGGTCTGAAAGGCTAGGTTCTAATCCACCACCACCCCCATAAAAATCCATATGCTGGGGGCCCAGGGGAGCTCAGTTAGTTAACCCTCTGACTCTTGATTTCAGCTCAAGTTTTGATCTCAGGTTCATGAGTTCAAGCCTCGTGTTCATCTCCACACTGGGCATGGGACCCACTTAAAAAAAAAAAAAATCCATATGCCAATCCTCACCAAACAGAAGCTCCACAAGAGCAGAGTCTCTATTTACCACTATAGTTGCCATGCCTAAAACCTTGCTTAGTCTATGGTAGGTGTTCAATAAATATGTATTACATGAATGGATACTGAGATGCTTGCTCTTCCTCACTCCACACCTTGCCTTTACCTATTCTAACAGATATTGGTACTTGCTCCCCTTTCTTCCTTGCTCCTGAACACACAACTAGACTGACTACCCTCTTCTCAGCCTTCCTTGCAGTTAAGACCAATTTCTGGCCAATTGAATATGATGCGTGCATTCTCAGGCCTGGCCCATAAAAACCTCCCATATACCTGTTCACACTTTCTCTGCTTTAAAATGAAGGACTCCATTGTACATCTGAAACTTACAACATTGTATGTTAACTAACTGGAATTAAAATAAAAACTTAAAAAAAAAAGTGAAGTATTCCAAGGCTTTCGGAAATGGTTGAGCTGCAAAGTGGAAGGAAACTGGATCAATGAAAAAAAAAAAAAGAAAGAAAAAGAAAGAAACTGGATCAATGAGACACCCCTTAGAGGAGAGCTGGCCAGGAAGCCAGCCAACCTCCATTATTTAAGATGGACAAGGAAATAAACTTTTGTTGGATTCAGTGATTGAGATGTGGAGGCTTTTTGTCACAGTAGTTAACTGGTCCCAATGAAGATACCTAATTCTGAATCATCCTCTGGGTCCCAGTTTACTTCCTTCTCCTGTTAACTTACGCTACTATTCTACCCACCAGTATTCAATAAAATTAAGTAGGTAAATCATGTTTACCCTATAATGACTAAAAATACTGTTTTCTACTAAATCAAATAATGTATTTATGTTCATATTTCATTAAGTTTATGTTTCATTTCTTCCACATCTTTTGGTGCTTTCTAAGGCTAATAATTGTCTTGATTTTTTTTCTTTTTCATTAGTTTTTTTTAAGATTTTTTTTTTTATTCATGAGATAGAGAGAGAGAGAGAGAGAGAGAGAGAGGCAGAGACACAGGCAGAGGGAGAAGCAGGCTCCGTGCAGGGAGCCTGATGCAGGACTCAATCCCGGGACTCGATCCAGGGACTCCAGGATCACGCCCTGGGCCAAAGGCAGGTGCCGAACCGCTTAGCCACCCAGGGATCCCCTCATTAGTTTTCTTTATAGCTATTGTCAATTTTCTTTGTATAGGGTCAATAAATCAGGAAAATGCTCAGCAATGAATTTTCAGGATACTTAAACATCACAAATAGTACATGAGTTTTGTTTTGTTTTTTTCTCCTGAAGACCTCAACTCCAATCTGGACTACTGCTCTGTAAACCTAATGCACAACTGTCATTCTCTGTCTTTCCTATGTCTTTCTCCTGGCTTGGATTCCCAGTTCCCCAGACCCAGTGCCTTCTAGTTTATGGATTTACTCCTTCATTTCTATGTAACACATCTTTCACTAGATTTCTAAGAAAAGGTTCATGGAAGCAACTATGTTTATTCCTTGTTTGTCTAAATATGTCTTTATACTGTTCTTACACTTGATTAATGGTTTAGCAAGGTATAGTAATCTAGGTTGAAAATTATTTTCTCTTAGAATTTTCAAGGCCTTGCTCTACTATCTTTTGGTATCTACATTTAAGACCTCTAACACTATTCTGAATCCTGTTCCTTTGTACATGACTAATTCTTTTTTGTTTAATCTTTGGAAGCTTTTACGCTGTTCTCTTTATCTAATGTTATGATATTTAATGATGATTCCCCCCAGTGAGTGCTGTTCCTCATTGTGCTAGCTGAATCCTTTCAATCTGGAGGCTTGTATCTCATTATCCTGGGAAATTTTCTTATATTATTTCTTTGATAATTTTCTCCTATTTTTTCTCCTTCTGTTCTCTCTTTCTGGAACATCTCTTAGTCAGAAGTTGTACCACATGAACTGAGCTCTTAATATTCTCATTGTTTTTCTCTTATTTTCCCTCTTTTTAAAAAATTTTTTTTTGTTTTGGTTCTACTCTCTGGGAGATTTCCTCAACTTTAGCATCCATCCTCTCTGTGGAAGGATTCTGGATTCATCTTTCAGTCATCAATATTCCCTTCTGCAGAGTCTGAGGCATAACTTCCTCCCTCTGTTAAGTCAGTTACTACTTGCCCTCTGTCTTTGTCAGCCAAAAGCTTGCTGGACCACTGATATCTTCCTCCTGTACCATTAGCATCATGGGATGATACATTTTTTAAAATTCTTTGTTGTCATATAAGTGGAGTTCATGGGAACCTGGGTGGCTCAGTGCTTGAGTGTCTGCCTTCAGCTCAGGGCATGATCCCTGGAGTCCTGGGATTAAGTCCTGCATCAGGCTCCTCACAGGGAGCCTGCTTCTCCCTCTGCTTATGTCTCTGCCTCTCTCTGTGTATCTCTCATGAATAAATAAATAAAATCTTTTTTTTTAAAGTGGAGTTCAGGCAGCCCCCGTGGCTCAGTGGTTTAGCGCCGCCTTCAGTCCAGGGCGTGATCCTGGAGACCCAGGATGGAGTCCCGCCTCGGGCTCCCTGCATGGAGCCTGCTTCTCCCTCTGCCTGTGTCTCTGCCTCTCTCTCTGTGTCTCTTGTGAATAAATAAAATCTTTAAAACAAATAAATAAATAAATATAGAAAGTGGAGTTCATATAGGTGTCATCAAACCACCATATTAAACTGGGTGTCTTTATTGCTTCATAATTTTCAAAAACAAACGTGGATTAAAGGGGACGAACAGATATTTCCAAGAAAAAGAATAGAAAACATGGCCTTTAAACATGCAAAAACATGCTTCTGCTCACTCATATTAAAGGAAATGAGGACACCTGGGTGGCTCAGCGGTTTGGCACCTGCCTTTGGCCCAGGGCGTGATCCTGGAGACCTGGGATGGAGTCCCAAGTGGGGCTCCCTGCATGGAGCCTGCTTCTCTCTCTGCCTATGTCTCTGCCTCTCTCTGTGTCTTTCATGAATAAATAAATATTTAGTAAAAATAAAATAAAGGAAATGGAAATTTAAACAATCGTAAGATTTTTTTTCACTTAATCAGAAAGAAAAAGCACATTTGATAAAGCACTGCTGATGTGTTGATGAGAGTGCGGTGCTGATTGTGCCCACAGCAATCTGTGTAGAGGAATAAGATTAGTAGGCGTAAGAGTAGTACTAAAGCATAGAGTGACCAACTCCTTCTGGTTTGCACAAGACTTTCCTTGTTTAAGCACCAAAAGTCTCATGTCCCAAGAAAACACTCGGTCTGGGCAAACTGTGGTAGCTAGTTTAGGGTGGTAGGATAATTTTTTTTGGTACATTACTAGTATGTTCCATTTCCTTTTCACAGTGTGATACCTTTTTGATCCAACCTGGACTGTGAGGCATTTATTGCTCAGGAAAGAGTTATTTTGGAAGAAAAATAGGGAAAAGATTGTCTAAGTCCCCAAATTCCTGGAGAGGGGATTCAGAATGAAAGAAGTATTAACAAGTCAGATCAGAGCTTCCAACCTCGTTTCCAGAGGTTTGCTAAGTTTGAGGGAAACAATGGTAAGAATGCAACAAGGGGAATGAGGCCAATGGGGTGGGAACAAAAGGTCCTGATATAGAAAGATCATGGGGGCAGAGAAGAGACTCCCTACCAGATGGAGCAAACTCCGAACTAGAAATGATCTAATTCCAGTGAGCACTATTCATCAAAAGCAATAGAAACTAACTCTAACTGAAGGCAACAGAAATGAGATTCATTAAAGGGGTAATGGGAAGTTCAAAATATCACCAGGAATTTTCTAGAAGTGGCCAGGAATGAGGAAGGCCAGGTCCTGTGGGAGCATGTACTATTGGCCAGACTGGTGGATGCCCAGCTTTCACCACAGACCATGGGCATTGTCTCAATATTACTCTCATCCACCCTCCCCATAAGGATTCTCCATAGTCCCAGCTCCTTTGTAACCCAAGCTCTGAATGGGTGAGGTGTTTTGTTTTGTTTTAAGATTTTATTTATTTATTCATGAGAGACACAGAGAGAGAGGCAGAGACACGGGCAGAGGGAGAAGCAAGGTCCACACAGGG